CTAGCTCGGCTGCCTAAGGACGGGCCGTGAGCCCCGGACACCTCCTTCCCACGACCTCCAGAGCCCTAATAGCCTGTGCTGGCTTATCACCCTGTGGGGGAACAGCTTTCCGTGTTTCAGGCTCCGCGTGTGGTCCTGTGTTCTGCCTCCAGACACCGCGGCCAAGGCCCTGAGGCATGCCCCAGCTTTCTGTATTTCCGAGCATGGGGGAGGAGGCGGGGGTCCTTCCGTGGCAGCCACACTGTCCTCCACGGCTGCAGAGGGGATCCGCTGGCCACGGAGGGGAAGGGCTCGGGCACTCTCCACCTCCTCCCTTGCTGAAGGGAGCTGCTGTGCCGGGGCTCTGTTGTCATGACCTTGCATCATGCTGGTCTCTCCCTTGGGTGGCACTTACCTGACTTTTCCCGTTGGCTGCACCGCCTGGCCCCCCCAGGGAACAATGAAATATTCACAGTCGTGCTTCTGCTAACAGTCTGAACAAGGCAGTCTGGGCTGTTTCCGTCATGCTACTTGGAAGTCTCCCAGCCTCTTCCCATTTCTATATTCCGTGTCAGCTTCCTGTGGTTACTCGAACAAATCATCACAAACTTCGTGGCTTAAATAAGACGATGTATTACCTTACCTTACCTTACCCTTGTGGGGGGTCAGAAGTCCGAGCTGGGTCTCCGTGGGGCTTACATTAAGGTGTCAACAGGGCTGCATTCCTTTTCCCTCCTTTTCAGGGGGAAATCCATTTCCTTGCCTTTCCAGCTTCTAGAAGCCACCCGCATTCCCCGCTCATGGCCCCTTTCACCATCTTTAAAACCAACGGGATCGGACTGAGTCTCAGGCTGCCGTCTCTGGTTCTGCCTCTTCCCAGCGATCACACTGGGCCTGCTGGGAGGGCGGAGAAGATCTCCCATCTCAGGGTCGGCTGGTTAGCAGCCTTAATTCCTCTGCTGTTTTAATCCCCTTTTTCCATGTAAAATACCATAGTCACAGTTTCTGGGGATTCGGACGGGGCACAGTTACGGGGGCATTATTCTGCTGACCACAGTTACCTGGAGTCTTCCAGGTCTTGCAGCTTTATCAGCTGAATTCTCCTGGCATGCTTCTGTCCGGCTAGTCACAATGCCCGTGTCTAATCGCATTGGTTCATCTCCGTGAGCCTTCCCTGACTTTCTCTGAGTCGACCACCACAACAACATCAAGCTGATGGCAAAACCGAGCTCCTTCCTGCTGCTCCTTCTGCTTGAAACATTCCTCCTCCGGATCGTGGGACAAACATCACCTCCTGGGGACATTTGCTCTGGGACCACCCTTTCTAAAGTAACCCCCATCCCTCACCTGGCACTCTCTCAACACTTTACCTTGAGTACTATCTGCAATAACCTTAAGTGTTTGTTTACTTGTATTTTTGACCATTAGATCCGTTATATCCGATGCCCAATACATAGTAAGTGCTCAACAAATATTTGTTGAATGGATGTCCTTGATTGACGATGTTCACGCCGCTCCCTCCTTCACCACCCTTCCAAACACCTCATCCTCCACTCCTGGACAGATCTCACCCATTCTTCAAGGCTCGGCCCACCGTTTATCTTTTCCTCAAAGACCGTTCCAGTTCTCGTTCATTCATTCAACATTTGCAAAGCGCCAGCAAGGGCCAAGCTCCCTGCCAGGCACTGGAGTGGCTCAGATGATGAAGTCGTCTCCCATTCTGTCCTCTTACTGCCACTGCAGGGCAACGTGGTTTTCATCTAGACTGTAAATTCCTTGCACACAGGATTTGCCACCCACGTGTCACCGCCCTGTGGCGGCGCTGAGCCGAATGTGGGTGTCAGGAGCGGCCGTGTGCGTGTGCGCTGTCAGCGGGCTGAGGAACGGCAGGAGGAAGGGTTCCTGGGTGAGAGAGCCGAATCTCACGGGTGCTCACGACGCAGACCGGGCAGGTGAGGGCCTCAGGACGGCAGCTACCTGTCTCCTTATTCTTCCTTCAGGGACTGGGGAACCAGCCCTGGAGGGGGCACATTTCGGATGGCAAGACCCTGTTCCACTCCCCTTCCAGAGCGGGACTTCAGACTCTCTCCACAAGCCCTTGGGTAACAAAAACAGCCAATGTTGCCGCCCTCCCGGTCCTGAAGCCTGTCTTCCAGTGGGGAGAAGGCAGTGTAGTGAGCCTTCCACAAAGAAACCCCCACTGGGTTGAAAGGACTGAAGTTTATTCTGTGGTCACATCTTTCCTATATAGTAAAATAATGCCCCTTCTTTCAAATGGTCTCTTTCTCATTATGATAGTTGTCCGGAGTTGTTCCTCCTCCTCCTCCTCTCGTACTCCTCCTCTTTCTTCTTCTTCTTCTTCTTCTTCTTCCTCTTCTTCCTCTTTTCTTCTTCTTCTTCCTCTTTCTTCTTCTTCTTCTTTCTTCCTCCTCCTCTTCTTCCTCTTTTCTTCTTCTTCTTCCTCTTTGTTCTTCTTCTT